TGCCAGCACGGGTGAGATGTGACACAGACGCCACATGTGTACCTACGATCGCAGAGCACACCGAGCAGTTGGGCTGTAGGAAGTGAACGTTAGCCAGACACCACAGCCACAATCAATGCGTCATGCCTAGACCGCATGGCAAGACCTAGTGAATGCAGGCCGTTCAGCTGTAATAAGTGGACGTGAGTCGGACACCACATAGCCGCAACGAACGTGTCATGCTTCGATCGATGGGTAGTCGGCCTTCATGCAGGTGAAAAGCCAGCAAAAGGGTTTTTTGCGAAGTTTGTCGCTTTGCTATCAGCTGAGAAAAACAGCCTGGCCGTATGTGATGACCGGTCGATGGGCGCAGTATTGCTATGGCCACAACAGCTGTCATCGCTTCATGACTGAAGTCCAACAAACCCGTAAGCTTTAATTAGGTTGTTTTGGCTTCTAAAGGAAATCAAACTACCGGGAGCACATTGTAAGGTTACAGTGCTTATCGATTTAGCGTTTCGGTCGCGTGTGTGTTACATCTGAAAATTCACCCTTCATAGGTGCATAAAAACGAATTCCTGACTTGACTTGACGTGACAAAGCGCTTAGATTTCAGTATGCCCCGACGCACTGGTGGCAAATTAGACGACACACCGATCTAGTCAGGAATGCAACTATTGCCCTCACAGTCAGACAATTGCTAGTTGTAAAAATTGATCAGGTCTTCGAAGGTGCTTCTTGTGTACAATGGGGAATATACATTTATTCGTTCCTTGCTTACATTTACATGAAATGTTAGTAATGACGGTAAATATCAACGAATTAAATGTTCGAAATGTCCACCGTCGTTTGGGCTACAGAGGAGCATTCGCCGAACGGTGTTGGCGAGCACTTTCTGCCATATCTCCAACAAAATCTGTCTATATTAGTTCACAATGTTCTCTTTCAGTCCAGCCAGGATTTGGGTTTGGTTATATTAACTCTGCGCTTCAAGTATCCCCTAGGAAAATATCCATGGTATTCAGATCCGGTGATCGCGCAAGCCAATCTATCGTTCTTGTGTGACCGATCCAACGTCCACCGAATGTCTTGTTCAGGTAGGCAGGAACCGATTGCGCCGAATGTTCAGGTGCGCCATCCTGCTGGCACCAACAGCAATCCATTAATCCTTACTACTGTAACTGCGGAGTAACGCTGCACTGCAACATTTCCATGTACTATGACACTAAGAAATGTCAGACATTGGCACTGTTAAACGACAAGCTGCTGGACACACTCCTGGAATAGGAAAAGGGCCCAATGATTTTTCTACCAGCTCCGTTCTACCGGCTCCGTTGATGAAACGTGGCTCCCATCCACATGTCTAGCGGTCTTATTCCTTCTGTTTTACACAGGATATGGGGTTTGTGTTTGGAGCTGTGGGTGGTGCAGCGCAAGCCACCCATGGTCCCGCTGTAGGCGCAGGCGTCCTGTGGCTGGCCACAGTGACAGGAAAACCGGAGACCGGATGTCAAGGACTATATATATATATATATATATATATATATATATATATATATATATCTTTATTTCAGGTGTGGGCCATGCGCTGTGCCATTTGGGGCCACTACAGAAGCGACGACGGGTCCCGCAGTGAACGTAGGCAGCACCGGCGCAGCGTTTGTAGGCACGCTGAATTCGATTTACTAACCGCGTGCTTGCATGCTGAGTCTCTTTATTTCAGGTGGTGGGTTTACAGTTTTTACCTTAATGCTTTTCTTTCTCATATAAATGTCTACCCGTTCTCTATTCCATTAAATTACACACCTCGCCTAAGCCAATTGTATTCGATTTCCGTAGCATTTTTGTGTTCTTGGCATTCCGTGAACTATATTTCCTGACCTCGTGCACTTAGCTAGGATTTGTTTGTAAACAACTTATTACGTATGCTATTTAATTAAGGTTTATATCACCGTTTCCTTATGCATTAATCGAGTTTTTCTCTTTCTCTTTTTCTTTCTCTCTCTCTCAAGTGTTTGGCTGTTGTTTGAAATCCCCGGTGTGGATGCGCTTGATGTGCATGTTGACAAGGTGCCTACCTGTCTATTACCCACTACATCGTTCATACTGGCTCCAGGAGACAGTTGGTCGTTGCTGGAGGGGACGGGGTGCACGGTTCTTGTGGCCGTGCTAGGCTCAAAGAGCGGTTCCATGCACTCAGTGTGGAGCGGACTACGGTCCAGCCACCGCCTTGTGTGCGGTTGATTCCCCAAATACAGCGTGCTTGTGTTTGCCTGTGAAGGAGTGTGGGCCGGCTCCGTTGATGAAACGTGGTTCCCATCCGCATGCCTCCCGGTCTTATTCCTTCGGGTTTACACTGGATATGGGGTTTGTGGTTGGAGCTGTGGGTGGTGCAGCGCAAGCCATCCATGGTCCCTCTGTAGGCGCAGGCGTCCTGTGGCTTGCCACAGTGACAGGCAAATCCGAAACCGGATGCCGCCAACCATATATATATATATATATATATATATATATATATATATATATATATATATATCGGAATCAAGCGCACAGGAGACGTTGGCTGGACCGTAGTCCGCCGCACACTAATTTCATTGAACCCCTCATCTAGCCTAAAACGGCCACAAAGACCGTGCACCCCGTCCCCTCCAGTAACGACCAACTGTCTCCTAGAGCCAGTATGGATGACGTAGTGGGTAATAGACAGTTAGGCAACTTGTCAACATGCACATCAAGCGCAGCCACACCGGGGAAATCAAGTAATAGCCAATCACTTGAAATGACCTTATCAGAGAAATATATATGTTAACTCATACGGCTATGCCGACATAACTCTTCACTAAATTAGCATATGAAATAAGTTCGTTAGCAATGAATCAGCGTTAATTACAATCTGTCCACAAGTTATTCAAAATATGCCACAAATGCGATAGACTTGACGACGATATGCGAAATTAGCGTATGCAGCTTGTTCAAGGTAATAGAAGATTATTCTAGTAGGCAGAACAAAGCAATTAAAGTGGAATAAAATTTATGCAACTTAAAAACTAGTTTAAGTGTGAGTTGGTTTAGCCCAACTGTGATGGGGAAGCATCATGAATACAACATCAGCCTCAGTATGGGGCGCGACATAGGAGCGTGTAAAATAAATTGGTTACGAAAAAATCTTCTATATCTTCAAGACATTAGAAAATACATTTTAAGAAAATCTCACAAACGCGAAAATATTATCAAAGTTAATTACATTTAACTTGAGCGATATGTGCAAGTTAATAGAAAATAGTTCAGATAGGCATTAATGATACAAAACATCTGAGATAAATGGAACCAGCATGCAAGCACACGGTTGGTAAATCGAATGCAGCGTACTTACAAACGCTGCGCCGGTTCTGTCTACGTTCTATGCAAGACCCGTCGTCGCTTCGGTGGTGGTCCCGAGTGGCCTCGCTCATGGTTCACTAGGCCTGCCTGACTCAGGCACTCGCGACCGCATGTGCTACAGCACCATGCGCTTGATGTCGATGGAGTACAACCCATCGTTGCTTGCCGCTTCCGCACTTGCCGCTCCTTCTTTGCATGCATGAGGTCTTTCTCCCACACTTCGGCAACTGCCTCCGTGACCAGATCCCGCCCTACACGCCGATCAACGGCCTTCGATTCCCATGACTTGCAATCAATATTAGAAGGTGAGGGGCTCACTTTCATCTTATCCTGGTAACGAAGCTTCGGTTTCGCCACATGCAGCTTCCCAACACTTAGTTGACCACAAAATAGTTGTTTCCCTATTCGCGTCGAATCCATACGTCACACATGACCGAGCCACCTCAGGTGTCTCGACAAAATTATGCAGTCCACCGCATACATTCCACTTTGGCGCAACACTTCCGTGTCCGCAACATTGTCGCACCAACCGACGCGCAGAATCTGTGGAGACACTGTTGATGGAACCACTCGAGATATCACACATCCCGCCGGTACATCGTCTACATTTCACTGCCGTATAGAAGAACAGACAGCACCATGGATTTGTACATCATCAGCTTCGTGCCAATGGTAAGCTGATGGTTAATCCGCACTCGGTAATCTAGATTCCCGAATGCCGCCGCTGACTTCGACACGCTGACCAGCAGCTAACTGTGTAGCTGCTGGTCAGTCGACATCATACTCCCAAGGTAGCAGAAGCGGGATGTGGCTTCTAATATTTCAGCACCAATGCTGATTCGAGGCTATATATATATATATATATATATATATATATATATATATATATATATATACTTCTCATCTTTGTGCGGACCATAAGCTTGTTTGCAGCGGAAAGCATGCTTAAAATGCATGCGTTGGGGTTGATTTGGAAGCTTAAGTTCATTTATCTTGGAAGATCTGAATCCCTGCCCAATCACGAAGCAGAATTAGTGAGACAGGCTTAGACCATGTGTGAATAGTTATCCAATGGCGTGGAATTCAAGAGTGGTGTGCTCACTTATTTTCTATATCGCCTTAGGGGAGCAGAACTTTTTTTGAACCAGGTTTTCAATTTGCATTCGTCGTCCTCTCCAGCACAATTTCATTTGACTTTTACTTTCATAGACATTATAAATATCATGCACCCCGTAAATTTTACCTATGCAATGAGCTATTTACACTACGGGGTTTTCCATTATCGAACATTCCCCGCCCCTCACCACCTACAGTATGAACTCAACTTTCAACGAGCTACCCTTTATTGTTCTGCTAAACTATCGTGAAAATAACTAAGCCTTATTTGAACTTCAGACGCTGTTACACCGCCTCGGTAGGGAAAGGATCTCAAAGTCGGGTAAAGCTTATTGATGGCTGATGAATAAGTTGATCGCGCAGCCCTTATTATTTGTGGTTTTGCTTATTGCTCCGTAGTCCCTCCCATTGTTATCTCGTGATTGCGTGTGGGTACTTCGTGAAATGGTCTCCATGCGCCATACTTTTGTCTCTACGAACAACGTTACGGTCAATTATCCAAGTTCCCTTTGGTTATACCACAGGCACTTCCACGAGAAACCATCGGACACCGCCAATCGACACGTGGGATCCCATGGCGTGCAGCATCAAACGACTGACTCATGTTGCCCGGTGAAGCTTCAAAATCACTTCGATCCCACCCAACTACCCTTAGCCAGTGAAGAAAAGGCAGAAAAAGAGGCACACGTCAACTACCTGGTGACTTTGTTCAAGGCATTGAAGGCATCTGGAGTACAAACTGAGGCATTCGTAAGCGCATTCAGACGGGCGGAACTGTGTTCACAAGGAGAAAGTGAGTCCTGTAGTCTATCTGCATCACCTCTAGTAGTAGCCTTGTCTACCCCCATGGTGGGGATTTGGGCAATGACCTGCTCCATTCGAAGCATAAATATTAGAACCAGTTCCTCGCACTTAGGAGAATATACTATACTATATTGTATACCCGTGGTACGTAGGACTACTTTATACCCTAGTCGTGATTATCGGTATGCGAGTTATAAACTGGCAGATGTAGAAGGGCTTAATGTCAGATTATCGTTTCGTACAGTCATGGTGTCGAGGTAAGTTCCTTACTTCAACGTACTTCGCTCTCCTTTTCATGGTACACTGAAAGGTTCACACGCACAACTCATTCTAAAATAAACTGTATTCAGCTGCTGTTTTTCACTAACGGTGTTTGCCTTTCGCTGGACTGTATAGCATTGTTGCTAGAGAGGTTTTGTCTTTTAACAGGTCGGGGATTCGTGCTACGTAATGTACTAATCTGCAACGAGTTCTGAGATTTTTCCTCCCAATACCGCGATCAGTTCCCTTTGGTCGGCCGACACAACAGTCAACTTTTCACACCTCATTGTAAGCGTATGTACAATCTTAATTATCGGACTATCTGAACATAAGTCACAGAACCACAACCTATGTCGATACCCTGTTAGCTACATTAAGTGTAATGTTCACCTTTGTTGCGTCGTAGGAATTGGCAAAGAACGAACACGTGAGTTTCGAGAGAATCTCAGTTCCGCGCTTGTATGAGCTACGATTGACCTTGGGTTTGTTGCTCACTGGATTCCCGGTTGACAAACTTCTCCGGCCCATGGATCAGTGGTCGGTATGCACTTTTAGGTTGCGCTGTTCACGCCGTTTGGGCTGCCTCAGTTGTCTGCTCCGGTCAGCGTGTTTGGTGGTAAGTCACTAGGCGCACGAGTAGCCAAAATCACACAGGCTTTGTGCGATGAAACATAAATAAAAAATATGGTGGTACCGTGAGATGAAAAATGCCTGTACTTATGGTATACAGTGGTGTACAGTACTAACTTATATATTGCCTGAGAGCCTTAAAGAAGCTGTCGAATGGTATCCTAAAGGTACTGATGAAACTCAAATAAGCAAAGTTACTCACGTTGACCTTAGTGAATAGAGTTCCGAAGACTTCGTTTGTGGTGTACTAGCGTGTCGCTGAACTTACTTCAAAATATAAACCCCGTTAGATGCAGCTCGGTGATCGGAATCGACTGAGCGTATTTCCGAAGAGGTGGCACAAGAATGTGAGGGGATAAGTTCAATTTAACACAGAGCACAGCATTGCACCGTTAGCACGCAGACGCAAACGCCGGAGGAGTATGGACTTATCTAGGACCTCGAAGAGAAACTTTTGTGAAGCGAGAGAAAGACCTAGGTGTCTTAATTACATCGTAAATAAAAACAACCCAGGACACACTAAGGAGAGTGGCGGCTGCTAACAGGATGTGGGGTGTCATATGAAGATATTTTTCCGGATGACACCAACAATTTTCAGGCTACTATTCACCTATCACGTACAACCTATTCTTGAGTCGTCATCAGCATTATCATTATTCACGTCAGCTAGAGGTAGGAAACACCTCAGCTACTGTGCCACAATACATAAATGAAAAGAAAAAATACAAAGTTGCATGCCAGCTGAGCTACCAGCACCGGATAGGCATCGTTCCGGTAAGCTACCAGCCAGCTACTAGGCAAAAAGAAAAAATTATTGTGTTTTACGCTGCAATGAGATCGTAGATGGAGGGGGAGGCTAAGAGGGATGGGGAGGGACAAAGAAACTCACAGCATGAACGCCACTGAGGTCGGCGCCTTACCATGTCAGCAAGTGTATCCAGTCAAACGTGTTCACCGTCTTTTGGACCCCAACCAGGGAGCCGTGACGCTACAACCGAGGCCACCACAGAAGTGAGGGCCTTCATTCCCCTGAACCAAGTCATCGCTTGGCCACCACTCCTCTTCTTCCATCCACATCCCCGGTGAGCAAACAACGCACGTCGTGGAAGTTGATGGGCTGGCATGCGCAACACGTGGCCCAGCCATCGGAGCCTGGTGCGTGAAATGACGGAGCTGAGCGCTTCAGTTCTTTTGTTGTGCCGTAAACAAGGCGTCGAACACGCTTGCTGCTCACGCGGTGTTCCCACCAGATGTGAGGCAAACTGCGCAGGCACCGATGGTCGAAAGTAACTAGCCTCTTCATGTCCGCCGATCTTAAGGGCCAGGTTTCGCAACCGTACAGTAAGGTCGAACGTACCACTGCATTGTACACTCTGCCCTTCAGTGCGAGAGTAGTAACGCGCCGCCGCCATAGGTGGCGAAGGTAAGCAAATGCACTTCGAGCTTTCGCTATACGGTTCGTGACCCCGTCTTCGATCTCATGGTCGCTGATACAACTTCCCAGGTAGTTGAATTTCCGGACGACATCTAGCTGATTCTCACCAAGGGTCAGCGCAGGAGGCGATCCCTGCCAATCTTGGAGGAATGCTCTGCGTTTCGATGGTGCAAATCAAAGCCCGAAGCGGCTGACAGCCAGTGCTAATCTGTCCATCGCAGCTTGGCACGTCTGGGAGCTGTCACAGATGAGGGCAATGTCTACGTTTCCACTTTCAAAGCTAGTATGTACCCTATTAGAAAGCGTCCAGAGAGGAGATTCAACGTATGTTTTCAGACTTCGGGATTTCCCCTAACATATTCGACTCCAGGAGATGGACCACTTCTCACTGGACTACCGTCGCCGCCGTGTAGACCTCATCTTCACCGGGCGCATACTAAGAGGGGAACTTGTAAATGAACTGCAGCAGTTTTTTCATCTCAAGGTAGGAGGCCCAACACGAGGTCACAATTGGAAAGTATGGAAACTGAGGATGCACCGAGTCCACTCCACTTTGCCCTTTCTACTAGGGTGGTTAACGATTGGAACGACCTCCCAGAAACCGTAGTCATCGCACAGACTAAGGAAAGTTTTAATCAGCTTTTGGATTCCCATCTGCGCAAGGTGCCTGGATAGCACTGCTCCTCTGCGAATCTCCTGTTCACTTGTAGACTGTTGGGTCGCTAAGGCACTAGTGCTTCCCATGCTTATCTGGAGGCGACGGGGCTAACATGTAGCTTCCATTCTGCCCTCTCCAAATCAATGGACTCAATGAACTGGCATAAGATGCGGACAAAAATACGAGAGCGTAACATTTACCCCAATCAAACGTGTAGCTGTACGCATGGGACCTTAAGTTCCCCAGTGTCAAACTATGAGAGGTGCTTTGCGCATCTCGCGTGACGGTTTCATTTTTCACTATACCCATTGCCTACCGGACATCAAGTTGGTCTGACTCAAGTGGACGTCATGGGGTGACGGACGATATGAACTTATTAAGGACCAAAAGAGGTAAGCAACGAATCGCTGCTTACGTGTAACCAGGGGCTAAGATGCCTACAGATGCATACGACTCACTGTTGTTTGCCCTCAGCTGCCGACACTTGTCTACGCTAGCCTCCTGACAGGTACCTTGAAGTGGCAGCCGCTATTCCTGATGCACATATTCGGCGCGGATGCAGGTGCTGGCATTGGTAATTGACTAAAGGAACTAATTTCTGTTGGCGCAGCAACTTGCACTCGTAACTACGTCAATGAACCACGTTATGTACACCAAACGGTAGTGGATTGACTGTGAGATTTCATCTTCCATAGTGGGGCAAACTACAGCCAAAAGTCAGGAAGTGCTCCAAGAAAAACAACAATAAGTGGCAGATCAGTGTGATGGGGGCTGAAAATGCTAGTGATTGGAAACGCTATAATGTCGATCGAACGTCCCAGGCCAGACCGATAAGGAGTGAGCATGTTTCCGGAAGCAGATTGGTCAGCCAATCAGTAAATAGTTGGCCCGTTATCGCGACCACCATGCAACTATCCACTGAACGTGTAAGTGACCAATCAAGCTTCAGTAGACGAAGGAGCGCATAATTGTGCACACTTGAGCCAAGACTTGTGGCACTGGACCGAGGGAAGAAGCTCGCGGGCCCAACCCCGCCAATCGTTCCTTGAATAAGAAAGCCAAGGTGATTTAGACAGAGTGAACGTCGCGAGCAAGCATAAACCAATGGAAAGGGAGCCAGCGACACAATGCAAATAACAGGGATGAGCCATTGAGGCAGACTGTTGTAAATAGTGTATATACTCTATAAATATTCCAGCGTAGTCTTAATAAAAGAATTCGTGATCGCGGCCCAGTCTTCTTGCTTTCCGGATGGCTACGCGACAATCAGGGTGGTGAACTAAATTAATTCAAAGCTAAAATCACCTCACCGAGTGTAAATGTAGGCAATATTCGTAATTCCGGGCAGCAATATAAACTATTAAAGGCCAAGAAATTTCAGATCATCCGAATCGAAGAAGCAGGGTATATAGAACATCAACCAGTGCATTAGGTGGTCTATTGGAATACCGCAACACTTACTTAAATAGACAGTTCGGCCATGAGAACACAACGAACAGGTTATTGTTGCTTGCTGTGTGTTGTGCCCTGGTATTCATCTAATTATACAGTGCGAATCATGTGCACTCCAATCTAAATGATGAGATGGGAGTAGTGAAGCATGTCATGTGGTCAGGGGATTGATTTCCTGCCATACGATAGATAATGGTGCAGATGGAACCTTTCTCCCTAAGGTGTTTGATAAAATAAGCAGTCCGAAGTGCCGATACATGTGGCACTTGCCAGGACCAAGACTGCTTAGTCCAGCTTATCCCTTGTCCTCATGAACTTTGTCGACCAGCACCGCTGAGGCTTCTCAGAGCACATTACTCCTGCTGAAAAGCATTCTCTAGCGGACACAGGCGATGGATCGTACGCTGCGCTAATCAAAAGCCTGATGACGTCTGAACACTCCAAACAATTTATACCAAGCATCCTAATAAGCAGAAAGTAGGAGCGCTCTCGTCGCGATCAGTTCTACAACGTTCACAAGGTCCATGGTAACAATTTCCGGAATATATGAGCC